TTAAAAATTGCCTTGAAGGTTATTGGTATGAAATAAGTGCAGTATAATATAAAATTATACTTACTGGTACAATCCTAAAAATTTAATTCCACATCTGTCATTCAATATTATATAGACATATATATATATCAACTTGTAAAGTCATATGAAGTTAAGGTAGCTATAGTCAATTTAGAATTGCTATATAACTGTCAAGTCTTTAGCTTTTGCACTTTTCCATTTAAAATGTTTTCTATTTTTCTACGAAATAGACATCAACTTGAATTAAAACATGTAATATTCATTAAAACATAAGTGAAGTAAATAAGATTCCATGGGAGGTAATTTGATATCTATGAATTAACTATTTTCACAAGAATTTGTGATTGGACATACACTCATCTCCATTTAACATGTTTAAAACTTCAAGAAAACATATTCTAGAGAAAAATAATATATTTTTCAAGGTAATTTAAGTATTATTTCAAAGACAACTCTAACAATAAAGACAATCAACAATTTTAAAGAGATAATTTGAAAACTTGAAATTGGACCTTATCAAAGCAATTCAAAAATTACTATGTTACCTTTCATATGCCTTTACAATTGATATACTCTTAAAGAAATACATCTACAATGTATACAATAACAATCTTAGATGTGGAATTCAAACCATAAAGGTTTGTAGTAAGTTATTACAATCCTCATGATCCTATTTACGTAAGAGTTGATATCATTTATCAGCAAAAAAGTTCAGCCTCAGATATGAGAAGCTCACATCTAACGCAAGTTATTATAAGTAAAATTTTATATTACACTGCACTTGCTTTATGCTAACAACATTTCACTAACTATGACCTAAACTGTTTTACCATTTGATCAGATTAAAGAGATGAATTCAATCTGCAATTTTAGTAACAAATTTTAGCACATTGGTAGTGTGAAAGAGCAAAGCCTTTAGGTTAAGCACAGTAATGTGCAGATGTTTCCTCAAGTTATGCTTGTCTTGTAAGGTACTACTACAAGGGGTGTTTAACAACCTTGACTACCATTGAGGGTCTCGCACAGTCACACAGAACTTTGTAAATAAATGTCTTATAAATTAAAAAGTAAAGATCTCTAAAATGATTTTCAATATATTATTTTATTTAGTCCTAAGAAAGTTTAAATCATGTAAGAACCATTTTTATATGATTCTACTGTAATTTGTTTTTAATTTATAATTTTTCAATTTACATTTCAAGATGTGTAATATGAAAAACATGGTAAAACAAGGGGAGTATAGTTATCCAAGTTTTTTGAATTTACAGGTAAAATTTAACTGCATGATGATCAGTTACACAAAAATAGATGTTAGAGATTGACATCAACTGTATGATAAACAGGAGTGCACACACTGAAATGTCTCGCCTGCTTTACTGACCATTGACTTTATGCTGATAGTCCTAAAATTGGCAAAATATAAAGTTTTACTATAAGTATCACATAAACTTACCAAATTCATAGAAAATGAGGTCAAGGTCAGATAAACCAAGCAGAAATACATGTACACCTTAAAATCATTCTATACACCAAATATAGTTGATCTATTGCTTATAGTATACAAGAAACAGACCAAACCATGAAAACTTTATATTGAGCAAAGAACCGTGAAAATGAGGTCAAGGTCAGATGAACTCTGCCAGACAGACATGTACACCTTACAATCATTCTATGCTTTAAATATAGTTGACCTATTGTACAAAGTTGTCTCCCATAGGCCTAGGGCTATAAATTGATTAAGAAATGTCACAGTGGCTTCCAAAATAACTTAATGTTTTGTCAATAACATGGTTTATAATTATGTTACTTTGTTTAAATGTGTATACATGTTTTTGTTTAAATGTACTTTAATCATTCTAATCATTAACTGTGCTTTGTTTTGTAACTCATTTGATTGTATAGCTCAAACTTTGGGCACCATGATTGGTTAATAAAAATTATCTTATCTTATCATAGTATCTAAGAAACAAACTTAACCACGAAAACTTAACATTGATCAATGAACCATGAAAATGAGGTCAAGGTCAGATGATAACTGCCAGACAGACACATACACCTTACAATCATTCCATACACCAAATATAGTTGAGCTATTGCTCATATTTTTAGAAAAACAGACCAAAACACAAAAACTTAACATTGAGCAATGAACCATAAAAATGAGGTCAAGGTCAAATAAAACCTGCCAGACTGACATGTACATCGTAAAATATTTTCATACACCAAATATAGTTGACCTATTGCATACATTATTATGGACATATGACAGATGGAAACTCCATAACATAAGGCATCTATATACAAAGTATGAAGGATCCAAGTCTACCTTCTGAAATATTTAGCTTTTTAAGAAGTTTGTTAACACCGCCGCTTGATCACTATCCCTATGTCGAGCTTTCTGTGACAGAAGTCGCAGGCTCGATAAAAATGGACATTGAGGTTGTTGGGTTTTTTTTTTTTTGGGGGGGGGGGGGGGACAAAACTCTAGAAAAGTGGAAGATTTGAATTTCTAATGGGAGGGGCAGAAGAGGGCTTGAATATCATGATCTAACTGTGACAGTGTCAGAACAAACTTAGACCTTTCAAGTTTCAGGAGGACAGATTTTGCCGCTTCAGAAAGGGTTAGATTGAAAAGGTTATAACAAGTTTAAAAAGATAATGCTCTGATTCTTTATCGAGAATATTTAATTCATTTGGTTCATAATTTTATTGAGTAGCAGCAAGGTTACAATAAAAAAATATTATTACATGAATTTAGAAAATAAAGATTTTAGTGAACATACTTTTGACATTTTCAACAAAGTCATATGATGACATGGATGAGGGCAGCGAGATATCACATGATTATGCCTAGTTAAATGTCCCTGCCTGGTTGCCAAAGATTTTAATAATACATTATATATGCCTTATTTAAATCAGTTCTCATACCAGTACGATCCCATGTGTGATAATTTACAAATCATTTGGAAATGGCCTACTAAGATATATTCATTTTGTAGAGTTTGAAATTGTGCTAATGTAATAAATTTTAAAAAAAGGCACTGGCTGCAATTACCTGCAAAAAGTAACAATACGAAATAATTATTGTTACTTCTGAGACTAATCACCGAAATGTATTTCTGAACAGGGACATGATTTCATACAGAAATTGAATGTAAAAATGTAACAATAATATTGTTTTTAATTGTTAACTGCAAAATTTTAATTAATCAAAGTCTTTTTTGTGTGTAGCTTAGGGATACTCTGTTCTGTCTGCCCCGTATACATTGTTTTACATTTTGAACCAACTTATATGAATAGAAAATTATTTATTGAAATTAGCAATAATAAATTGAAAGGACATTTATACACATTTAGTTTTATTTTGATAGCACATCCAGTATGTGACCTTAGGTATCATTTTGAAGCCAACATATATCCGGTAATACCACTTCAGACACCTGTTGAAAACTGTAGATCCATATAAATTTGCATGTCTATACTGCACACTAATTAGTTCCATTCTGCTAATTATCCTTCTTCAGAGATATCTTGTTTTTTACAAAAACTTCTATACTGCAACTGCACAAAATTTGCATCTTGGAACCGTTTTAAGTTCATCATTAAAATCTTGAAAAGATATAAAATTTTCAACAACCACAATACATGCAATATGGACATATTGCTCATTCATATATCACTGTATATACGATACTTAATTAAGGATAGTGTGTTACTTTATTCGCCCCCCTATGGCAAAAGTGAACATCATATTGGTCAATACATCTATAATTTAATCCTTTAATTGTTTTAATAACACAGATTGTTTGCAAATCAATTTTTTAGAAGATGCCTTTCTGAATATATTTTGCCAGTAACAATAAAGACTGATATTATTATTATGTTACCTGCAATTTCATTCAAGTGTGAATGTGGTCAATTAGAAACCGTGGAACATTATTTACTATTTTGTGAAAATTATGAAGAGGCTAGACAGAAACTTATACACGAGATATTTTTTTAACACGGGATCATCACATATATATTGATTTAGAACTTTTATTGTCAATAGAAAAAAAACTCTTCCGTCTCTAGAGAAACACTAATGCGGCTGTTGTGTGATTTTATCCGCGAGTCGCACCAATTTGATTAAGAAATTTTTTTAAATTTTTTTTCTAAATGTTAAATTATGTTTTTTCCTTTTTTGTTTCTAAATATTTTAATACAGTTGCCACCTATAATTATAATTAAAGTACAAGTGAGTTGTTTACCAGAATGAAAATTGTACAAGCGAGACTTTAATATTTACAAGAGAGACAATCCATTGTCAACAGCAACACCTACAGAATACAGAATTTCATTATGAAATCGGGTCCATGTCTGGGAATTCTTTTCAGCAATTAGTCTTGGAAGTAACAATAATAATTTCTAATTGTTACTTTTTGTGGGTAATTGAAACCATTGCCTTAAAAAGTAGTTAGTAAATTTAATGATCTACCAAATAGTCATGATAGTGTCGCAGAAATATATCAAAATAAATCCCAAAATAAATATCTTCACATCACAAGTCACAATATTGTATGACACGTTCTTCTCTAAATGATCCCATGTCAAACAGGGCAGGTCATTCGTAAGAAGGAAATTGGAAACTTACAGGACTTGTTTATTGTATCCTAATGACTAGTCTAGTAATGTTTTCAAGTAATACTAATAATCAAGGCTTCATAATTTTTTTGTGAATAACCGATTCGTATCTGAACTGTTAGCTGGATCTAAAATATTGATAATGCAATGATTACTATTTATGCCTTAAATGTGTTTGTTAAATTAGATTTCAGGGGTATAGAGAATATTTTCTAAATAAACATGATTAATCTCATCTTGGCTCTCCTACCATTTAGACTAGCCATTGAAATATAGTCATCTAAATGTTTGATGTATTGCGGAACCTTTCCAAACTTATCATTGAAATGATACAAAAATTAAAGCGTCTCCGTAACGCAGCTGTATAAAAAAATATAGACGCTAGACAGAAACTCCACATCTTCTGATAAAATTAGTTTGAATATGGAGGCCTTTGACAGTAGCTTGTACTCAATAGCTGTAACTGCAACTGTAGTTCTTCTATTTGCATCAACTATTTATACATTAAGAAATATTTTGAAAATTTGGAGAAAAGGAGCACCATCTCCAGTCTCCTCAGAAAAGACTATAAATGCAACTCATAATCTCGACCGCGATGAAAGTGAGGGAGATGAAAATGACAAAATTATTTTTGAAGGTACAATTTAATCAGTTAAGTAATCATAATGCAAAAAAATAGGCATTGTCTAAAATGAGCAAGCAGTTGTGTGGCTCTCCACGGGCACAGACCCGCACAGGGTCACTGTTGTGTAGAGCGGTCCTTCATACATACCTGCCAACTTTTGAAAATCCCCATGGGGGTTTTAGTGCGTGACAACAATTCTTTGCAGCGTTTTTTGCACGTGCTGTTTTGTGCTCTAGAAAAAGTGCCATATCTTCTTTATTTATAAGGTATACTGATGATGAGCTTATAAGCCTTTTTCTTCTTTTTATTTGCATGATTCTAGTAAGTATATCGGTAGAAAAAATAAACATACATGTACCAGGATATATTTTCTTGTGAATGTGTAAGAATATTAAACGATTGTTGACTTTTCCCAGTTTGAAATTATGCACAAAGAAGGACATTTATTTGGTCCTTGTGAAAAACAAAGCATAGTACATTGTACTTTTGATTATTTGGTAATCAAATCAGGTTAGGAACAACCCCTCAAATGAGGGGTAATCCCTCAATGTAATGACTATCTCTTTTATAAGGGGTACATTTCAAGTGATAAAAAAATATTTTTTTGTAAAAACCAATTCTTAGTACAAAAGGGCACATATTTATATTATTTGATGAAACTTTTCCCGAAGAACTATACATCTATCTGGTATTATATGGTCAAAACATGTACAAGAATTTTATAATACTCATGGACTTATATCTTCTTCATTTTTAAAAATAAGTGGATCCCTCTTTTAGAAAAGTTGTTCTAAATATAATGAGTTTTTCCCCTTTTAAGTTAAAAAACCTAAGTTTTTCTTTTTTCTTTTATACAACAGCAAAATGACCCCCTGTCTGGGGGACTGTCCATCATTTAAGGGATATCCCTCATTTGGGGAGTGGTTCCCAATCTGTTAATTATAAGAATGACAACACTTTAGTGTACGTATGATATGTTACAGTAAGGGTAATGTCAATAAGCTACTATTTATTATGTTTATGGTAGTACTGCATCATTGAATTTTGTCAATCAGCCATGCTTTTCTTCTTAAGCTGTGTAAGAACCTTCTTGCAGATGAAATTCACCTGCCATATTTACGACTTTACAATTCTGATACGAGGAATCCAAACAAGTTCAAAATTTAGCATGTCCAAATAATCATGAAAGAGAACGATTTTGATTGGCTTATTAATTTGATCATGAGAAACACAGACTTTGATTGGCTGATCACGATTGTCTTCCCTTGGGAACAGTTCAAAATCGGGAACAATCATTTTTTTTCGTGTAGATTTTCACAAAATCGTGTTTTAGAGCTTTTTTCATGATCACGATCGTGCAATCGTGACAAGGGGTCAAAATCGTGTAGTACACGCCTAAATCGTGACAGTTGGCAGGTATGTTCATAGAGGATCTGGATGGGTTGTCAATAAATTCAGCACCTTTTGTCCATTTGTCTCATAGATTTATCCCAAAAACACAACAAGTACAAATCACTTAAAAGAGCAACAGAGGCATAGCACTGCTATAATTATTGGTACAGCAGATCTATAAGCGCACCAGAATTGCATCTCTTGCCAGGGGTTTTGGGCATGCACCCCAAGAAAATGTTGAAAAGCTTGAGCTTTCTGAATGTATTTCAATTTTTGAGGGTATATTTAATTATTTATGTGTTAATGCAGGAGATGTCTGTTGAGCATTTAAATTTGTTGGATTTGCATTGTTTTTTTTATACATTACAGGTGGATGCATGATTATTTTTTTTCAGGGGTGTAATTACCAAAAAGAGAAGTTATACTGCTGAGAGGAGCTAGGCAAACAAATTTTGGATGATTTAATGCTAAAAAAAAGATATATTTTTCATTAAAAGGGTACACCATCTATCCCCCTGAATCCGCCATTGTATTTATATCGTAATAATGGAAGACTAATAAACAGAAAAGGGGTAAAATTAAACACAAAAGATACAGATACTAATGAATATGTGTTGAGGTTAATTATATATAAACTAGTTTGTTTTAGATCAGTAAATTATCAAAATTTAAACATATATAAAATAAAAAACCACTAAAAAGCAATACTGGAAAAGCATCCAACCCTTCACTTAGTTTTCTACTACTAACTAGAGAAACATATTTCTAACCTATCTTGAACTACCTTTGGCTTTGTAAATTTTTTAACATAAAGGGGCATTATATATATAGCTGTCAAATTCTAGTTCTCCTATTTGAGTCAAATTCTCATATTTGATTTAAAACATACTAAAACGTATATATCCAAATTATAAAAAGTATAAAATAAACACAATTTACGATGCACAGACTCGATAATAAGATAAGATATTTTATTCCAATTAAAGGGCCCATGAAGAGCAAAGTAATTTATTACAATGATTTAGATAATTGACACAATAATCAAATGTTGATAATCATATGTAAATATGAATATACTCATCTCAATTATAAGGTGTTAAACCAAAGCCAAAAAAAGGAGGGGTTAATTTTTTTTTTTGGGGGTGGGGGAGGTCAATTCGCAACAGCATAGTGTATTGCACAAAAGCAAAAAAAAAGGGGGTGGGGGTCATTTCGCAACAGCAAAGTGTATTGCACAAAAGCAAAAAAAAAGGGGGTGGGGGTCATTTCGCAACAGCATAGTGTATTGCACAAAAGCAAAGAATTGATTATAAATTCAAATCATATAACCAATTCTAAGTTCTTTGACTACAGTTATTCTGTGTCAGAAACCTATTATGTGTCAGATATTGAATTACAATCCAAATTCAGACCTGTATCAAGCGCGAATATTGTGTCCATTTTTGCCCCAACTGTTCAGGGTTGGACCTCTGCAGTCGTATCCAGCTGCGCTTGGCGAAGCAATTTATTTATATGTAACTTTTTATTACATGCATCATATAATAAACCATCCTTTGTGTTCTCTAACCTATGAGCATATTTTAGCATTGCCAATAAAATTGAAAAATATATAGGAAATCTTCCTAATTCAGACATAACAGCAAAATTACTTGCTTTTCTGTTTACCCCAAGAATATGTTTCATGAATTTTGTGTGTGATTTTTCAGATATGTCTTTTGAATAAACCTTTTCTAAAATGTAATTGTTCTTCTTTCATGCAACTGAAGTGGTTGAAAACATTCCCCATATTTCACTGCCATACATTAAAATAGGTTTAATTGTATGGTCTGTATCAGCATTTCGTGTGTATTTTAGTCTAGACGCCATCTAATTAACCATTGAGGTGACCTCTGAAGACTGCCGATGGTCATATAACCTGATATATTTTTTACATAAACATAGATATGAATAGATAGCGAACTCGTGCAATTGGATTTTTCTAGGTCTGTTTGATTTCATATTACAGGTTTAAACATATATGTTAATAATCGTTTTTACCTGTATAAGAATGAGTTTTTGTAGATCGAATCAGTCAGCCAAATGATTTGCCCTTGTTTCACTTTCAATGTTGACATTCTTTTCTTTTAATAGCTGAACATCTTAGTTCATGCGTAACCCATCTCTAGCTAATGCCCCTTTGTCAACACCAAAACCGGAAAAATAATCAGTTTTCACCCTCAACCACAGGCCCACCAGCCTAGGCTTGTGAAAATCATCTCTACAGGCCAATAGAATCTAACTAAAATTTTCGTAAAATTCAGCTTTGGGTCTTTAGATTCAAAAGTTTATCATGAAGACTGAATAATTACACAGAAAACTAAATATAAACGTAATGGAATGAACGATGCTGCCTATTTTCACATAAGAGAACACTTCCTAAAGATCTCAGGGTTCTCTCTAAGGCGAGTCCACCAATTTCTGGACTCATGAAAATCTGTCTCTGGACTCATCAGTTTCAAAATTGAGCACACATACATTTGTATCATCATTTTATAGCAAAAGTAGAAAAATAATCTAAATTTGATGTCATTTCACTGCTCTATTTTATCATTGAAACTGAAATAATGAATTATATACATAAAAGAGGGACGAAAGATACCATAGGGACAGTCAAACTCATAGATCGAAAACAAACTGACAACGCCATGGCCAAAAATAAAAAGACAAACAGACAAATAATAGTATAGATGACACAACATAGAAAACTAAAGACATAAGTGAGAACCCTGGTTCTGTCATGTCTGTACAGGTTACATAATTCAGTCAAGTTTGAAGATCATTTTGGTTTTTAGTATTTTCGGTTTATACACTTAAATCAGTAATGAACATAGTTGATATACGTATTCAACATTTTAAAGAACATTTTACTCTTAACAATAACCACAATAAACCTATTTCTCATATCAAACATAAACTATAAGAACTAGCCAAGGAATTTGTTTTTGTCCCGGCCGATAAAGCTGCTAATAATATTATTATTGTTTGACGTAAATTTTACATTGAGGTTCTGAAAAAAGAAATCACCAATTCACCAACATTCCAACTGCATGAACTGACTCCATTTTCAGAAAACGACATCTGTAACAAACATAAACTTTTAGCTACCGCTTTACAAGCAGAACCAAATACAATGAAAGTCCCAACTATGTATTGGCTTCCGAAGCTACACAAAACACCTTACAAATATAGATTCATTTCGTCTTCAAGCCATTGTTCCACTACTAAACTGTCTATTCTTCTTACCAGTACACTTGGTACAATCAAAAACCTGATAATAAATTGTTCAAATAAGGCCTTCGAAAATAGTGGAATTAATTACTTTTGGAGTGTCAAGAACTCATTGGAAGTACTTGATAAATTGCATGCATATATTGGTGATTTTGAGTCTGTTCAAAGTTTTGATTTTTCTACCCTATATACCACATTGCCTCACATTCTCATTAAGAAAAAATTCACACACCTAATTAAATGGGCATTTAAAAAGTCAGAATGTGAATATATATGTTCAAACTCTTTTAGGTCATTTTTTAGTAGCAATAAACAAAAAAACTATGTCAATTGGACATGCTTTGATACTATAT